AGAATTTTGAGGCGCAAGAAGAATCCTCAGCTGCTAATGGAAGACAACTTGCTTCAGGTTTTCCTAGTAGGCTGATGGCGACAAAACTGATATATTCAAATCTACCCTCTACCTTTTGTAGCTTTGCGGTGAACAACAGCACTAGTAAGCCCCCTCTCTCCCAGAAAGAGTGAAGGGTTTTGAGCTTAGTTTGACCTGTTTTTCTGGGGTCCTCACAGCAATGTGGGATCAACCTTGCGCACGTTCCATTTTTCTCTACATGTGGAGCGTGCTGCGTGATGTAATCAGCCCTATTGTGTGTCCCGCTGTGACTTGCCAGCGCACCATTCAGCCCAGTTGGCGCTACCACATGTCATAGCTAGCTCAAAACACCCGCCGGTTGAAACCACCGGGAGCCACGCAACCTTGTTAAAAGTGAAGTTCGCGTGCTTGCGCACTTTGTATGTCAAGTTTTGCGCTCAGCACCCACAAGTGTGGGAGTTCCTTGGGACGCACAAGTCCCTGAGCGACCACGCCTCGGACTGCGCCAACACTGTCCTGACAACACTCGCGCACGCCCGGCGTCTCTGCGATCCAGTGAGGTTCAGACAGGCGACGCAGGGCCTAAGGACTGGGCAGGCGCAGGCGCTGGAAGGGCTGAGAGACCACTTCCTCTTGCATCGCCAGCCGGAGCTGGATCGCGAAGAAGCCACGGAGGCCGGCGAGCCAGAGGAAGATGACGAGGTCAACCTCGACAACTTGTCCGACTTTCTGGCGTCGCAGGACGCGCCCGAGCTGGACGCATCCGCCCAAAAAAGCACTTCGGCGGAGGACAAGGGCCCGCGAAAGCGTCCCGCGTCGGTGGCAAGCGCGGCGCAGGGCCCGATGAAGAAGCCGGCCGCTGCCGCCAGCAGCGCAGAGGCTTTCCGCAGCGAGTCGGCGCAGGCAAAGTATTGGGGCCGTGCGCACGTCGGCTACTACTCAGAGAAGTCGTACATTCGGTACTGGTGCGAAGCGGACAAAAAATACCGCTTGATCAAAGGGGCCTCCGGGCCCGACCACAAATCCGTCTGCAAGCAGCTGTGGCCTGCAGTGCTTCAGGGCAAGCAGATCGAGGCGCTCAAGGATATTCGCTCCGGTCTCAAGGCATCCGACTAGCGACAGATCACGTCGACGCGCGAAAAAAAAAGCCATTGCTGCCGAATCGTTGTGTGTGCCGCATGCGCGCGCATCCCGAGGGTCCTCTTGGCTTGTGCTATAGATAATTGTGTAGTCGGACAGCCATGCCTTTACAGGTTGCTTTCCACCACTGTCATCCCACGAACTGGGACAGCAAGGCGTTCGAGCCTCTTCCCGCGTGGCTAGAAGCGCGAGTGGCAGAAGTGAAGCTGCGCGCGCTACAACGCGTTCCACGCCCCTTATCCAAGGGGGTACCCCCTCAGGGCGGTCAGTGTGCTGTGGCATCTGCAAGAACGCAAGGCCAACGGCGACCTCATAATGTTTGCGCCGAGTGAGATCATCTGGATGTGCGTTCGAGATCGATCGTGACTTGCACGCGAGCCTGCAGCGCTGCTCTTGAGCGGTCGCAGGCCTTTGGGCCGCGGCCGCAAAGGCTGGAACCCGGGCCGCCAAGACGCAGGCCTATGGGCCGCGACGGCTGGCCTCCGGGCCGCCAAGACGCAGGCCTATGGGCCGCGAACGGGCTGCCAAGACGCAGGCCTATGGGCCGCGAAGGCGGGCCTCGCAGGTCTATGGGCCGCGAAGGCTGGCCTCCGGGCCGCCAAGACGCAGGCCTATGCGGCCGCCAAGACGCAGGCCTATGGGCCGCGAAGGCTGGCCTCCGGGCCGCCAAGACGCAGGCCTATGGGCCGCGAAGGCGCAGGCCTATGGGCCGCGAAGGCTGGCCTCCGGCTTGCGGGCCAAACAGTCACGGCGCGGTGAAAGCGCGCTCGCACTTGTGTCTTGTCTGATTGCTAATATGCAGACACACAAACAGACATATACATGTATATATATATATATATATACAAAATACATGTATATATATGTACATATTTATATATATACATGCACATGTATAAGCTGCGCATACAAATGTATATCTTGAAGTATACATGTGTGTATATATATATATGCGTATATACTTGCGCTCCGCTGCCGTTTCGGCCCGCAGTCTGGCGCGCCGCAAGCCGCGCGTGCGTCAAGCGACGGATGGCCCGAAGAGCCATCCTGAAGGCCCACGCAAAGCCGAGCCCGAGCCCGAGCTCAAGCAGCAGCGGCAGCGAGGACGAAACAAAATCGCGCACGGCCAGCAGCAGCAGCAGCTGTAGCACAGCGCCGACCGATGGCGCCTCGCGCCCGGGTGCTGTGGCAGAGCCTCCTGCCACCTCGGCGGAGGGAAGCGGCGCGGCAGCGCTTCCCTCAGCCCCTGCCGAGCGACCTCGGTCGCCGGAGCTGCCACCGCGGAGGCCGCCGTCGGAGCCCGTGGGCACTGGCGGCGAGGCCGGCGAGGGCCGCGAGGGCCGCGAGAGCGGCGAGGGCCGCGAGGGCCGCGAGGGCGGCGAGGGCGGCGCAAATGCGGCCGGCGAAGGCGGCGAGCAGCCCGCACGCGGGGTGGCTCGCGGCGGACTGCGAGGACCGACAGCTCGTCAAAGTGCATGACGTGCTGGCGGTGGATCGCGGACGGCGAGTGGTCGTGGCAGCAGCATAGGGCTTCCGACTACCACAGGTTCTGGGCCCGCAAGTCGGCTGCAGAGCCTGTGCCTGCAGCTCCCGCTGCAGCTCCCCCGGCGGCGCCGCCGCCCGAGGTCAAGCGCGAGCCGGAGGAGGCCTCCGACGAGAGCCGCAGCTCGAAGAAGAAAAAGAAGAAGCCGCGCCGCAGCGCCGCCGCCGCCGGATCGCACGCGCGACCCGCGCGGTCCGGACAAGCGCGGCGGCCCGCCACCTGACCCAGGGGCAGAAGGTGGGGGGAAAGCCGCGGCCTTGACGGCCATGTTCGAGCGCGCCGTGAGCTCGCTGGAGGGGTTTTAGGCGATTGGCCTTTGGGCCAATCGCCGCTTGGCCTTTGGGCCATCCACTTGGCCTTTTGGCCAGCGGCTGCTTCGCTTTGGATCCTGGCCGGAGCGGCCGACTGGCCGACTGGCCGCATCGTCGCGGCTACGTCGCTTTGGGGCGGACTGGCCTATGGGCCACGCCTGGCCGACAGGCCAGCGCAGACACGGTTTTTGGAGGGAAAAAGTGCGGCCGCGAAATGGGGAGGGTGGGGGGAGCAGGGAGGGGTGGGGGGAGAGAAGATATCAAAAGATGTCAGAAGATGTCAGAAGATATCAGAAGATGTCAGAAGATGTCAGAACATGTCAAAAGATGTCAGAACATGTCAGAAGATGTCAGAAGATAAGATCTTCCATGTCAGAACATGTCAGAAGATGTCAGAAGATAAGATCTTCCATGTCAGAAGATGTCAGAAGATGTCAGAAGATAAGATTGTCCATGTCAGAAGATATCAGAAGATGTCAGAAGTCAAGATTGTCCAAGATGTTTTGTCGTTCACCGTGTCTGCCCCGCTTGGTTCTTTCGGCTCGACAGCAATCCCCGCCACGTAACTGCGCACTTCCTGGCTCGACCCACAGATCACATGGCTATGAAGCGTCCCGCTTCCGCAATCACAAAGAAGCCAGCTGCCCATGAGGCAAGCAAGCTCACCACGGCTCAGCAGCTGGGCAGCTACCTCTTCGGCCACGGAGAGGAGGAGACCCAGCGCAGGCTGGCTAAGCTGTCAGAGACGCAGCGCCAGACGCTCACGAGGATGTTCGAGCGCGCTCGCAAGGAGAACAGCCAGGACTATGACGCTGAGGGCCTTCGGGGCCCCGGCGCCAACCGCAAAAAGAGTCAGCTCCTTCTAGCGTGGCTCCAGCACGGATTCAGCGAGACTTACTGTGAGCTGGCGGCCAAGATGGTGCTGACGCAGTCCCGCACCACGCGCGAGGAGTGGATCCCGCTCAACGAAGCCAAGAAGTCCTACGGGCCCAAAGAGCTCAGGACTCGCCTGAAGAAGGGCTCCCTAGAGTGGCGCCGAGACCCGGACGACCAGGAATTCTTCCAGGTGCGCAAGCGCCGCGAGTTTCGCGAGACTGGCACGACGAGCTCTCAGCTCGCTCGGTGGCTTCGGGGTCGGGAGCAGGCCTGGCGCAGCGCGGGTTTGGGAGCAGCTTGAGTCGGAGAGTCAGGAGCCTGGCTGGTCAGACCTCAAGATGTCGCGGGCCAAGAAGCCCAAGGCTGCGGACAAGCCGGGCGGCGACCTCGGCGCCATCATGGCGCTGCTTGACGCCCCGGGCGCCGAGGCGGCCTCTGACGCCGAGGCGGCCTCCAACACCGACGGTGGCGGGGAAGAAGGGGAAGAAGAGGACCCTGTCTCGCAGTCCGAAGAGGAGCCGCCGCTGGCGATCAAGGATCAGACGCGTGGCTCTGCACGCTCCAGCGACGGCGGCAGCAAGGTCGGGCTGGAGGAATTGGAAAAGTACAGCGCGCGCGTCGGCTCTGTGGGGCTCCCCGAGCTACGTCGGCGCTTGTCTGAGATGGCTAACCTTGCGGCTGCAGCCGCGAAGGAAGCGAGCGCCATGGAGAAGAAATCTAAAGGCGCGCTGAAGAAGCAGGCTCAAGGCTGCAGCCAGAGCCTTCGTGCTGCGAAGAAGGCGATCCAGTCTGCTCTGGCGGCCCCGCGGGCCAGCGCTGAGACATGCAAGCAAGCCCTTCTTGACTGCGTGAAGTGCTTGAGCGCGTGGCGCCGGACGCGCGCCCAGTCGAGGGGCTAGCCACTTACAGCTTCCATGTTGGGAGATTTTGCTGGCATCGGCCGCCACGCGCACGTTTTGGAAGCAGAAAAAGCCTGCCGCCCCTGCTGACTGTCAGGACCCACGTGCAACTCTTTTCTTTAAAAAAAAATCCCCCGCGCTGGCTTTGTCATGCATCTAGAAGTTTGTCGCCGCAGCAATTTGCACCCGCACGGACGAGCGCGGCGGGCAATGGCAAGGCGCCGCGCCAAAAAGCGCACGGCCGAAGAAAGGGCGCTTGACGACCTAGCAGAGCCTCACTCCGCGCTGTGGACCTGCTTGATTGAGCTCTGGGCCTGGGGCAGCTTGTCCAGTCCGATTGTTCAGAAGCTAGCGTCGGCGGCCCGTCAAAGCGGGTGCGCGTTTGTGATATCTCGACTCTTGCGAACCTCGGCCACGGCGGCGCGCAAGAAGGAAACGTGCACAGGGATCTCCTGCGCGCGTACGCTGCCCGCTGCGTCACTCCAGAGCTCCGCCGGTCCCGTGCGTCACACGAGTGAAAAGCGCGGAAGGCGAGCGCACGGAGAGCACGTCGCAGGCTATACTGCCAGCCTCTGAGTGGATCCGCAGCCTCTGCGGGCACGGGTTGGACGCAGCCCTTCTGGGCTCCGAGGCAGACCGAGTGCGCTTCTGGGAGCGCCAGCTGAGCTCCCCTCGAGCCGTTGGCGTGGGGTACTACCACGTCCGAAGCTTTTGCCCCGCGCAGACAGTGCCTCTGCTTCTCTTTGCGGACGGGGCTAGCCACGCAGAGCATGACGGCACTGTGGCCGTCTGCTTCCGCAGCCTGCTTGCCCCAGTGCGACATAGCAGAGAGCATGTTTCTCTTAGCTGCCCTGCCCAAGTCGGCAGCCGTTAAAAGGGAATCCTGGCGGCAACTATGGTCCGCCCTGGTGGCGGACTTCAATGATCTGGCTCATGGCCGCGCAGCCGACGGGTCCGCGTTGCCTCTGAGGGCCGTGGTGTGGGTCGTCTCGGGCGACTATGAGCACATGGCAAACGAATATGGGCTGCCGCACTGGGCTAGCTTCCGCTGCTTTTGGTGCTGCAAGCAGAAAGCTGACTTCTTCGACTTCGGCGACATTGCGCGCCAGACCTACGCTGTCGAGGACTTACTCGACCAGGCAGCCCTCGAACACCCACTCACCGCTTTGACAAATTTTTCTCCTTGTATGTTTGCCATCGACACCTTGCACTGCCTGGATCTGGGCGTTGCCGCGCATGTGTACGGCAACGTGTTCTATGAGCTCACGCGGGATTGGCCGGAAACCAAGATCGGCAGCATCCAGCGACTCAATCGCGAACTGCGGGCGCATTGCGCAGCTCTCGCGGTGCAGCCGCCGCCCCTACTACGACACGAGCACTTCTCGCCCGATTCTGCGACACATCAAGGGATCAGTCGTGAGGCGCCTGGCGCCTGCAGTCGCGGCCCTGGCAGCCACGTATGGCTGTGGGTCCACCCACCGCAAGAGGCGCGCGCGCGTGACATCGCTGCTCGCAAGCCTCTACGAGGCTGCAAGCTGCCGAGATCTGGTGATGCCAGCGGACAAGCATGAAGACTTTGTCAATGCGCTTTCAGAGTTCCTAGACCAGTACCGATGTCTGAGAGCTGCGTGTCGTGATGATGGCTGGCACATCGTCTTTAAGTTCCACATGCTTCGGCACTTGGATGAGCAGTCCAAACACTTGAGCCCCAGGTATGTGTGGACGTACCCTGGGGAGACGTTAATGTCTCTTGTGTGTCAGCTAGCCGGATCCTGCTCGCGGGGCACCCCTGGCCGACTGCTTGGCGTCAAAGTGCTAGAGAAATACCGGGTTGCTCAGCACCTCATGCTCTCAGGTCAGATACCTGTGCGCTCTCGTATGGTCAGCGACGAGCTCGGCGAGTAGATTTGAGCCAAAAAGAGCGCGCGCAAATATCGGCGTATACACATATATATATATAGACAGATTGATGTGACTTTGTAAAAAGCAATAAAAGGATCCAGGTATCTGCCGCAAGCGTCGGACATATTTTCGCGATTGAAATTGAAAAAAAACGCGATTGAATTTACAAAAACCCGCGATTGAATTTGGTGTGCAGCATATTTCTGGCGCGATTGATTTTTCAAAACTAAGGCGCCTCTCCCGCGATTGAGTTTGTCGAAAACACAAAATTTTGGCCGCGATTGATTTTTGCGTTTTTAGCCTTGTTTTTGAGCAAATTTCAAGAGCGATTGAATTTTGACGCCGCGATTGATTTTTTTCAATCTCGGATGCTTTGGGTTCATCCGCGACCGCAGGAATCGCAAAAAAAACACATCAGCTTATCCCCTCAGAGGGTTCGTCCAGGCGCCGCATAATCGCAAAAACCTCGAGTTCTTGCACGTCGACCACGCCGATTCCCGCGGAGGGTTCATCCACGGACATCAAAATCCAAAAAACACAGTGAATTTTTGCACCTCGACCGCGCCGATCCCCGCAGAGGGTCACAATCCCGATCGATGACAACAACCCAACCCCCCGCCAAAATAGAAGATTCTTATTACCGAGCTCTTTCTCTTTTCTTACTTTCACGCGCGCTAAGTATTTTTCCTATGAGGCTTGACCTTAACTTGCGCAGCTGCTGACGCCGAGCCTCTACACCCAGCTTTCTACGCCCAGCTCTGCGCACCTAGCTTTATGCACCTGCTCTATGCGCTTGGCTCTATGCACTTGGCTCTATGCACTTGGCTCTATGCACCTGGCCCTTGGCTCTGCGCAGGTGACCCTGTGCAAGTGATTCTGCGCAGCTGACTCTGTGCAGCTGACTCTGTGCAAGTGACTCTGTGCAGGTGACTCTGTGCAAGTGGCTCTGTGCAAATGACTCTGCGCAAGTTGGTCCAAGAGCTCCGCACGGAAGAACCCTTCGCGATGCTTTCGGGAATTGGCGCAATCCCCTGATGGTTTATATAAGATCGAAACAGAAAGACGAAAGGAAAAAGGAACAACGTCGCCTGCAGCGACCTTACCATTGACCTGGACACAGCCAGACCACCAACTACCACTGTGGTGGAACTTATCAGGCTACGTGGGGCAACTACTACAAGCAGACCAACCGCGACGACAACAGCTGGTATAGCGCATCCTCCTGTGACAAGAATAATGCGAACAAGACCATTTGGGAGTATGGAGGAGGATGGTCCGACCGCCCTGATCTCCTCAGATCAGATGAATCCACAACCAACAACGACCAACACGAGCAAATCTGATGGCGCTATGATACGACCAACAACTCTATATCGATTATGCACGGCAGTTCGTGAAAGTTTGTCAGCGCAATTTGCTCGGTTGTTTGCCCTGTTGGTGTGTTACGCAAAGCACGCAAGGCTATTTCCTTGCATCTGGGTCTAATTTCTTTGCATTTGGGTCTGGCTCTTAAACCAAGCACTGACTAATCGCAGGGAACTCCTGTCATGACCACATGCCACATGTCATTGTCACTGCGCGGTGCTGTCCAAGTCACGGTTCCCCTTGCCACATTTCACCTGTCATTGCATTGCGCTCTTGCCCGGGGTTTTGCAGAATGTGTTTTTGTCACTGTTTTTGCTTTTAGGCACGCGTCTCGCAGCATCAAGGGTTAGTTGTCATTTGTTTGTTCCTTGTCATTGTTACTGCGTTCCGGCACGTTTCTCTTGACTTCGGGTGGTACTCATGAAATAGGTTGGGTTGACGGTTGCTTGCAACTGTCGCAAGCTGAGAGAGCTTTGGCCCGCGCGTGAAACACCATTGCCTGCTGCAGCGGGCTCTTGCGCTGGCATTCGGCCTGTTGCTGCGAGGGCCGCATGCGCCTCCACACATAATGCTCCTCCTTCTCTTGAGGGATCAGCACGCAGCTCATGGAGGCCACGGTGAGCAGGAACCTGGGTGGGACAGAGCAGCGACGACCTTTTTTGATCAACTGTCAAGCTTGCTGTCTTATGCTTGCGTGCAATGTGGCTGCAAGTTGTTCCATCAAAATGTGAATTTGATCCATGTGCTTCCAGCCGTCGCTTGTCTACTTTTAGTGACGGGGTCATGCTATGAAGCCCTGGAGATAGTTGCTGTCAAACAAGGCTGGCTACATGAACAGGACTCGGCTCCTGCGTGTCTTTGGCAAACTGATAGAACCTGATCAGGAAGCAGCAAACAGTCGGGCCGCTGGGGCCATGATGCCTGGCAGGTTCACTGTCGCTCGTGGCTTCTTGCATAGATCACGGCGCAGTGACCAGGTGCAATGAAGCAAGGTTGGCCACGTGGAGAGGATTTTGCGCGTGTCTTGGAAAGGCTGCATACAATTAGCCAGGCCCCAATAGTAACAACCCTGCGCGGTCCTAGGCTTGGCGCCAAAAGCTAAATACGCACACAAGCTGCAAGCATTCCTTTAAATGCCTTCCGTTCGAGTTTGTGCCTTGAAGCCTTAGGAGGAACTTGCGTCGCTCAGAACTTGAATTTGCGTTCTTTTTGGTGCCGGAAACTGTCGAAGGTTGGCCGCGCTCGCTGCGAGACATTGAACTTCTAAAACATCAACGGAGAAACAGGTTTACGATATTTACTCAGGGTGGAAGATATGGAACCGCCCGGAAGCAACAAGATTGAGCGAAGCTCTCTCTAGGTGCCAAGAAGTTTGAATCCCCGCGGGGCGTCCTACAACTCCTGCTCCAACAATCTCAGATCGCTGTCGGCTTGCCACAATTCCCGAGGTTGCCCCCTTCTAGGCCTAGCAATTGTCCTTAATTCGGTCCTCAATTAGTTTCTGTCAGCCGCGCTCAAGGACAAGCGATATGGGCGCCCTTGAGCCCCTTGAAGCAACATATTTTTTGTGCTAGCCCTGTCTTTCCAAAAGCCCTGTACTTGCGAAGGACGAGGTTTTTTTGCCCAGCTGAAAACTTCAATCTTTGGAGAGAGGTCAGCCTGAGGGCCCTCTCCGATGAGGAGGTGTCAAGGCCATGAAAGATCGAGTTTTGACAATTAAAAGCAGCTCACCCTTTATGTTAAAAACAAAAAGTTTGAAAATGTGAAGTTGTTTTTAGTAAAAACCTCATCCTTTGAGAGTGGTTTTGGATAGTTCAGGGTTGACAATGCCCTCAAAAAGGATTAGGTGTTTTTTCTGGACTATCCAACAATGCTCTCAAAGGATGAGGTTTTTACCCAAAACCTCACCCGTTCAAACTTGTTGGTTTTTTAACATAAAGGGTGAGTTGTTTTTTTAATTTCAAAACTCGATCTTTCATGGCCTTGACACCTCATCAGAGAGGGTCCTCAGCTGACCTCTCTCCAAAGCTTGAGGTTTTCAGGGCCAGGCCAAAGGATGAGGTTTTTTGAGAAAACCTTGCTTTTTTTGGGCTGGGCCCAAAAACCTCGTCCTTTGGGCTGGGCCAAAAACCTCGTCCTTTGGGCTGGGCCTAAAAACTTCGTCCTTTGGGCTGGGCCCAAAAACCTCGTCCTTTGGGCTGGGCCCAAAAACCTCGTCCTTTGGGCTGGGCCCAAAAACCTCGACCTTTGGGCTGGGCCCAAAAACCTCGTCCTTTGGGCTGGGCCCAAAAACCTCGTCCTTTGGGCTGGGCCCAAAAACCTCGGCCTTTGGGCTGGGCCCAAAAACCTCGGCCCAAAAACCTCGTCCTTTGGGCTGGGCCTGCGCCCAAAAACCTCGTCCTTTGGGCTGGGCCCAAAAACCTCGTCCTTTGGGCTGGGCCCAAAAAACTCGTCCTTTGGGCTGGGCCCAAAAACCTCGTCCTTTCACCTGGGCCCAAAAACCTCGTCCTTTGGGCTGGGCCCAAAAACCTCATCCTTTGGGCTGGGCCCAAAAACCTCGTCCTTTGGGCTGGGCCCAAAAACCTCGTCCTTTGGGCTGGGCCCAAAAACCTCGTCCTTTGGGCTGCGCCCAAAAACCTCGTCCTTTGGGCTGGGCCCAAAAACCTCGTCCTTTGGGCTGGGCCCAAAAACCTCGTCCTTTGGGCTGGGCTGGGGAACAAAAACGGGGACTAGATCACAGCAAGGCACCAAAAAAAATACACCACCGAAGACCCCAAACAGTTTAAACCAATCCATACAGAGAATGGTGTCCTTGCTACGCTGGGACCCGGAACGCCGGCGCTGGGACCCGGCGCGCCGGGCAAGACAAAAGAAGATGGCGAGACTCAGGAAGACTGTGGATTCGGGTCCCGGATTCAGGTCCCGGATTTTGATTCGGGTCCCGGATTCGTGTCCCGGATTTTGATTCGGGTCCCGGATTCGGGTCCCCGAATTTGATTCGGGCCCCGGATTCGGGTCGTTCCGGATTCGTTCGGGTCCCGGATTTTGATTCGGGTCCCGGATTCGGGTCCCGAATTTTTATTAGGATCCCGGATTTTGATTCGGGTCCCGGATTTTGAGTCGGGTCTTGATTCGGGTCCCGGATTTTGATTCGGGTCCCGGATTCGGGTCCCGGATTTTGATTCGCGTTCCGGATTTGGGTCCCGGATTTTCATTTGGGTCCCGGATTTTGGTTCAAGTCCCGGATTTTGATTCGGGTTCCGGATTCGGGTCCCGGATTTTGATTCGGGTCCCGGATTTGGGTCCTGGATTCGGGTCCCTGCCCTAAGGCTGCAAATTTCTTAAAATTTAAGAAGTAAAGGGAGTGCGCCACGAAAGGGGTTTTGCTAGTGATGTTGAACACTGGCTTTCCACGAAATTTCCATGAACTTTCCAGGCAGTTTCCAGGAACTGCCCATGAACTTTCCATGAAGTGTCCATGAACTTTCCAGGAAGGTTCCATGAACTTTCCAGGAAGTTTCCATGAACTGTCCACGAACTTTCCAGGAACGTTCCATGAAGTGTCCATGAACTTTCCACGAAATGTCCATGAACTTTCCAGGAACTTTCCAGGGAGTTTTCATGAACTTTCCAGGAAC